TTTTTAAACAATATATTTGTATTCAGATGTAGCGCTCACCCCCGAAGGAGCCGCTGGAATAACCCAGGTCATCAATAGACTCTCTCGGGATTTTAGCAACCAGCTGCCCTATTAGCATTAATCGCCCTCTTCCAGTGACCCACATAGTTGAGATCCAGGCCAGAACTTTATTGAAATATTTACTCTGGGAGAGAGGGTATAGGGATCCTAGACATCCAGGGTAGTACAGACACAGACTCACCAGTCCTTTTTTGAATTTCAGAGTAGATCTATTTGCAGCACAGTTGAATAGGGATTGGCACAGAGTCTTCAGGAGGAGAGACACCAGACTTGCTCTTGAGGTCCAGTCCATGTCAGGCACCTCCAGCAGCCATCAGCTTCCCAGGTTCTCCTCCTTCAACAATAGCAGAGGCCTCCTCTAGACTTAAGGCCCAACAGAGCATTTTCCACACTCAGGCGTTCCCACTAGCCAGGGGGCAGGCTGGACAGCGCCCAAACCTGAACTAATTTATGGCTAGATCCAGACTGAGAACACAGCAATTCCCTTGAGAATATATGCCCTGTCCCAGCATGCAACACTGGCTATCAGAGCCCCAGTGGTTGGCTGGTGAACTGCACACACACTCACAGTGCCCCTCATTGGCTGTCAACTATATTTCAGCCAGACTGACTACTGCTCTGGCAATCACTAAAATTCTAGTAGACACTCTACTAACGGTGGTAGGGGCTAAACAGGTTTCAAGTATTTTAGGTCTGAAGTATTACAATCGGTATCAAAAGTAGACAAAGTGCCTAATTAGCAACAATAGTGCAAATAGTATTACTGTATAAACAGGGCTGTCCCTACCCTGATGTCGTAGAATGTGCCGGGAGGGGTTACTGCTGATAGTGTTTCTTGGGGGGCTTTGCTGATAGTATTTGTCTGGGGGGTGGGGGGTTCAGGGACAGATGCAGTGGGATGGGCAACTGTGTTAGAGCCATAGATCTAGCAAGTATGGAATGTGGGTGAATTGCACTGGCATGGTGGGTCTCAACGGGTGTCAACTAAAATCTGGAGAGCCAATGGGCAAGAGAAAGATAAGAGAGAACAGAGGGCGCAAAGAACAGAGCAGTAGTTGGGGGAGAATGCAAGAACAAGGCAAGGAAGGTGGCCGGTTGTGATGGGTGCCTAATCCTAACCGGTAGCAACAGTCATCAACAGCAAACACCCCATGGGGGTGCGGAAATGTACAAAGATGTGTAGAGTTCATGAAACCTATCCAAACTCTCCACGTTTCTGAGTATCTATTGGAAATATGAGCCACAGCTAGTGATAATGATACCATATTACAGCTCGTATAGACAAGCAGCGAGCACTCAGAAAGGAAAACAAAAGTTGGATTTAGATTTATGGAGGTTCCGTATAAAGTGCGTAAAATGTAAAGTGCAGAAAAAGTGCAAAGAAAGTGCAGAAAAAAAGGATATCAACCAAAAATTGGTGGCTCTATCTTCAGACCTTTCTTTATTTTTGCACCTTATTACAGAACTCCAACAAATCTGAAACGTTAGAGTTTATTCCTTTGTGAGCACTGGCTGTATATCTAAACATGCTGCCACTGCCAGTCTTCTCTAACATTGCATATACTGAACATTATTTGTGGCCCATTGTTGATATCAGGGGCCGCAGTTGAGGTACCTTGTATGTTGAAGACCCTTGGATTATATGGTCTTAAAATATCAGAAAAAAAACTTATTTTTATACAGGTTTGTTTATTATTAATTTGTATATAGGTTTTTATTATTGCGTAACTTTGTTACATAGTTACATAGTATTTGAGGTTGAATAAAGACACGTGTCCATCAAGTCCAACCTATTGTGTGTGTGTGTGGGTGTGTGTGTAATGTAATTGTTAAACATTTAATGTACCATTCAGGGAATGCGAGTGGAAATTCCTTTGTATGCTATTAAACAATAACAACATAGTCTTATCTATTCTATTATCTACATACAAGCTCTAACTTGTATTTTTCCCTGAGTATCCTTGTTATTCCACTACAGAATACTGGGCTGATTATTGACTAGAGCCAGAAAAAATGATCAGCGGCACATTAGCTGCCCACAACAACCAGTTAGATCTCATCTTCCCTGCACAAAGAAACTAACAGAAGGAATCTGGCTGCTAAGGACAACAGCTTCACTTGTCTTTCATGATTCCATTGCTCCAGTTTTGGCTACCAAAGACTTAGGGGTGTATTTCTAAAACATTTGCAAAGCGAATAGATTTGCACCCCATTAGGGCCACTAGATAGTGCCAGGGAGCATAGGAAATTAATCTGCTACTTGGCTCCATCTAGTGGCCACAATGCAACTCTTTTGGACAAGAATAAACACCTATGTCTATTATAAATATACAATTGTACGGGGTTGGCAACTATATAAACCCCAGTATTTTCCTTGCCCCAACAATAATACAACCCTCCAGGTATTGCTGTGCTTTACTAAACTGTGAAACTGCTTTTTACCTTTTTTAGATCATCAGGTCGTTCTATAATGACTCCTACATCCATCGTTACAACGAGCCCATTTCACCCAGCCTCCTGACATCGCTCTGGTCCCTCTCTGTGGCCATATTCTCTGTAGGAGGGATGGTGGGCTCCCTCTCC